AGATTCGAACTGAATCTAGTCATAAGAAGGCTTAGTAATAGGTTTTCCCATCGAACATGTTTGACATTCGATTCCTTGGATCAAACCTAAACTTCGGATTAGTGGATGCCCGTGTGAAGATTTGAGGATACGGCGCATTGCTATTCGTCCAGAATATCCTAAACGATCATGCCAAAGTGTAATTTCGTGCATGGTCCCAGTAGTAGGGCCAGCCACATAGTGGCATTCGATGGGACGTATGGTCATAGTATATAAACCACTTAGGGTACGTTCCATCTTCTCTAGAATATGCTTTTGGCCATATTCGTAGGAAGTTATGCATAGAAATTCAACTCTGTTTTCTACGTGGGTTTTAGCATGGTAATTGTTATCTCTAATGTCCTTGAAACTTAACAACGTTCTTCCGGAACAGTGGAGAATAGAATACCTCAGAAATGGTCAAGATTGTACCATTGGACAACATTATACGTGCCTTACCGTATCCTTCTATCAAGTTGGATGAGTCTAAGAGGGTTCTTAGAGGTGCATTCTTAGGTATGACGTTAGTGAAATAGAAGTGATCACACAAAAAGCTGTGCGTGATTACACTATCTGCCAGACAACTAACTTTCCCACTAGTCATACCTAGAATGAAAAATTAATTTGAATTGGTCACATGCATAAAAGTTTTGAAAACAAATATCAATTCAAAATAATTTCATTTATCCAAGGATTAAAAACTTAATATCCAAAACAAATCACCAACTAATAATCCAAATATAAAAGGAAAATTGTTCAAAAATCAACCAAAAACAAAGGAGGGGTTCAGCCACTAGGTGGACTTCAGCCCCATTTGTCTTATCTGAACTAAAAATAAGTCTATGTCTAAGATTCTAATCTTCCATAGGAGTGGTATCCTCATGAAAATCAGAAACCTCCATCTTTGTAGTCTCTGGTTCGTCCACTTGCATGAAGTTTGATTCAAAATTCTTACGATGAGAATGATATTCATCTATAACCTTCTTGGGAGCTCGACAAACACGGGACCAATGGTCCTTTGAACCATAACGATAGCACATGTCCGCATCCATGGTTTTAGGTGCTTTGCCCTTATTCTTGAAGTTCGGGGCCTTGGGGGTGAGGTTTGGGTGTTTCTAGGCTTTGTTTCCTCCTTTAGATAGGCCTTGACTCTATTGACCTTGGTGAGATGGCTTCTGGCCACCCCTACCACACCTCTTTTGGCGTTTTGGGTGTTGGTTGGTGCTATAATGTGTTTCAGGCACAACAGTCACCCCAATAGGTCTAGCTTGATGATTCTTCATTAACAGCTGGCCTTGCTTTTCAGCGAGAAGTAAAACAGAGATCAAATCTGAGAATTTAGTGAACTTTTAAGCTCTATATTGTTGATGCAGGACAATATTAGAAGCAGAGAAAGTCGAATAAGTATTCTCTAGGAGATCCTCTTCAGTTAAAGTTTCATTGCAAAACTTGAGAAGTGATCAGATTCGACAAACTTCAGAATTATATTCATTCATAGACTTAAAGTCTTGGAAGTGCAACTGCTGCGAGTCGTATCTTGCTTCAGGCAAGAATATATCATTTTGATGATCAAAACAATTAGCCAAAGCAACCCATAATGCACGTGGATCCTCCTTAGCAAGATATTCAGTTTGCAAAGCGTCATGAATATGTCTTCGGATGAAGATCATAGTAGTGGGTTTTTCAACTTCGCCAACAGGCTTGTCCGTTTCTTTTCAATAGCAGGACGCAAGTTCGTTGCAGTGAGGTGAAGCTTCACATCTTGGATCCACTTGAGGTAGTTCATTCCAGAGACCTCCAAAGTGGTAAAGTCGAGTTTGTTCAAGTTCGACATGTTCCTATCACAAAATAGATGGACAAGATATGGTTAGTGTAATGGAGAAAAATCAACCCATTCATGTAGGAGTAGAACATATAGGCTCTAATAAACATGATTTGGTTTAATTTTGCATGAAAAAACTTCAGGTTTTCAAACAACGTATGTTTATAAGAAACTTCAAGTTTCAAAATAATTATGAACTTCAGGTTCATATATTCCTACAGGCAAACACAAATATATATGCAAACAAATATGCAACAAGAATATTCAAAAATATAAAATTTAGGTTTACAATTATAATTGAATTTTAATTATTTGGACTTCGGACCAAATTAAAGTGTGGGTGAAAAAATATAAAACCCATTGGGCCTAAAATAATTAGGTGAATAAAACTCGGGGCCCATAAGAAATGCACAAGCCCACATGGTGGCTTAATAAAATGGGTGCCATGCTTCCTAGACCCCAAAATTGGGCTAAGGATCTCGAGAGTAAGCTGCAGGCCTACGGGGAGAGACGGGACATGGGGTTAAGTCGCTACAGGCATGCCCAGAGAAAAAAACATACGGGCCGCTGCAGGTGAGCCCAAAACAAAATTTATTTTGTCTTGTTTTTTTTTCATATATGTAGGCTAGGGAAAATTGGGCCAAAATAAATGTTATGGGCTGCAAGATGCAGGCCAAAAACCGATTGAGGTTTGAGGGTTAGGCCGAGAAAGGGCCTAAAGGGCTGCGGGTCATACATCCCAACCACGATGGGTGTGATTGGTCGGGGAAAACACTGGGTTTGGTCGACGGCGCCGCGTCAGGTGGTTGGCTTTGGGACAACGATGCTTGGGGTGAGTCTGTGGATTGTCAAATACTTCAAACATGAACGGAGATTTGAAAAAAAATCTCGACATTCGATGTAAAAACCTAGAAATTCGAATCAGATTTAGATAAATTTTGAAGAGATTCGAGAATCTCGGTTAATTGGTGTCGATGACGAGCTTCAGGCCATCAAACATGGTGACTCAAGGTGTGAGGATGGGCTACAGGCCATCCTGCGATGGGGGAAGACACCATGAAAGACGTTGGGGTCGCTGGGTTTTCAGTCCTGGAGTCCTCGGCTCCGGCTTTGGGACTCAATTTGGCCATCCCAGCTTCAGGCTTGGTTGAAGGTGCAAGGTCATGGGTTCGAAGAACCCAAACCGTGATTCCCAATCACAAAAAATTGGTTTTTTTTTTTTTTTTTCAGTTCATATATAATTCAATTATATGCATATTCAATTTAATTATATGCATATGTAAAACAATACTATGGTAATTGAATTCAATTTGATGCATATACAAATATATTTGACGCAATGCATGGCAAATATCAAATTCACATAATCAACAATTATGATTATGAGGTATACACAATTTATGTAGAATCTAAAATTTGTAAAATGTAAAGTTGGGTCATGCTTCGTGGTAAATGTTCATGCTATCAAGGCTGCAAAAATATCGAGATAAAAATTGTTGTTTTGAAAGAACTTGATTGCGTGATGATATAGATGAACTAGTTTGATGTAGAAAAATTCTTCAACGTCATATTCCTAAACACAGCGGTAGGAGTGTGTTGATAACGTGTTTTGGTCTATTTTATCTGACAAGGAGAGAGAAGGCTGGCTGCAAGGAGGAGAGAGAGAGATATGTGCTTGTAGAATTGTAAGGGAATGTGTGTATTGTTATCTCTTCTACATTGTGTCTTTATTTATAGTAATAGAAGGAGAGAAGATATTTCTTCTTCCCCAAGGAATACAAGATACAATAAGAAAGGATAACTAGAATCAAATCTAATCTAGGATTTATAAAACATACTTAAATTAAGAATGTTTACAACATTATTTTTAATTTATAACATTTTTAATTTGTAATCATTTTTTAATTTGTACTTATTCTCTTTTTAATCTTAATTTGTACTCATATATTTAATTTCTTTTTTACCATTTTTTTAAACTTTAAACTTTTATTTTTACGCTAATTTTTAAAATCATTTATTGCACCCAATATTTTAAGATTTGATATGTACTCCAAATCAGGCTGCAAGTACATTTTGCGGGTACTTAACATTTTTTCCTTTCGACGTTGAAATTGGTAGATTTTTTTTTTTGAACAAAAATCAGATTGGTACATACTTTTGACACGGATAATGTGTGGGGGTGAGTATTTTTTGATATTGTGAACTATAAAGGGTGAGATTAGTTTTTACATCTTACAAATTGTAAGTTTTAAATAATATCCCATATTTTCAATAAAATAAAAAAGAAGAAAGAATATCCCATAAAATGGGGAGTTATATATTTCCTAAGTTGTTACTTTTATACAAAAATTAACATGGAAATATATGACATTGATATTGATATACTAAGGCATACAAAGTCACTTTCATAAAAAACTAAAAACCAATAAGGTTTCAGTTAAACAACAGTAATAACAAGAAATCTAATCCAAAGTCTCCTCTAATTTAAAATTGAAAATAAGTTAACTTATAAACAAATTATAATATAGTGCCATAGCCGTCTCATACTCATTATTTAGATGAGTTTAATCAAATTAATTTGTTTGTGTGTTTGTGTATATATATCTATTATCATATATAAGTTTATTGGTTATGGTATGTGATGATCTCATCAGTTTTAACATTGTGCTATGAGTCATTTTGACTTGGAATTTCTCAAATTGAGTCATTGTGTATTGTGAGGATCAATTAAACACGCAGCATGCTCATCATATAATACACGTGTACACACACACACACACACACACACACACATTCTGTGATGATGATGATGGATACAGAAGAGCCTGGGACACGGACAGGTTGTTGGATTGTCATATGTGTGCGGAAATTTTAATAAAAAAACTTTCGGTACTGTTCACTTTAATGAAAAATCATGTTTTTACACTAAAAGGTCAATCCTGGTACTATTCACTTTAACATTTATTTTGTCCTTATCGTTAAAACTCAAAATTTTTAAATCTTTCTCATTAGTTTTTCTTATGCTTAATAATGCCTCATGTTTAATATTTAGGTTCCATCTGCTACAATGAAGCCAAAACATCCAGCTTTCGACTAATTAATTTTCAATAATCCACCCAGCTAGCTAATATTGAAGAAACACATTAGAGAATAGAGATACAAGTATAATTTACATTATTTATATGTATAGTTCAGCTTTCAAAGTCACATAAGGAAAAAAGTGCTTGATACAATGGGGAGTCCTACAAGCATATTAAGGCCTCAATAGAGAGGATTAGCATGAATATGACTATTCACGCTATTGATAGATATTTTGAAGGAAAAAATGAACGACAGCTTTCCTATTTAGTCCATTAAAAAAAACCTTTGAGAGCTGCATTAATCAGCATCCAAAGTAATTATAATGGGCAAAATTACCATGAGCACGTCCAAAACGAAATTAAAAACATATTCAACCTCAGTAATTATTTTCTAGTACCCTTAATTAATTGCACACACTAGAGTATAGGTCCCCAATACTCTTTAAGTCGTAGCTCGAAGGAGAGGTGAGTGAGGCATTGGTGAATGAGGAGACATCATACGTGGTGACATAACACTAACACCTTCCTGCTCAAACCTTCTGGATGATGATGAAAAGCTCAGCCTTAGATTGCTCTGCCAACGCTTCTTAGGACTTTTCACTTGTGCTTGTTCTTGAGCTTTCTTTCCTTGCCCTACAAATGCCCTAATCCTTTTGAGTGCAACTTCCACTGTGTCATCATCCATGTTGGCGAAGCAAACCCTAAACCAACCAGGCTCGACGCATTTAAACGAAGAGCCCGGAGAAACGTTGAGCTTCACTTCATTAACGATTACACGCCACAACACCATTTCGCCATCAAACGTTTGATCTTTCAATAGCCTCCTTAAGTCCATCCAACAGAAAAGGCCGGCATTGCTCTTCAAGCAGTTGATTCCCACTTCCTCAAGCCCATCAGTGAAGACCCCGTGCCTCTTTGCGAGCCTTTTTGCGCTTGTGGTGAGGAACTTCTCGACAAAATCTTCGTCCGAAAGCATGGACGCAAGCATGTGCTGAGTTTGGGATGAGACCAGCCCAAAACTTGACATTTTTCGGCCAATGTTCACCACGTCATCGTTGTAGGAGTAAACGATGCCGACTCTCAGTCCCGGGAACCCCATGTCCTTGGACAAACTGTAGACAATGTGGATTAGGTTGGGGTTGCAATTCATGTTTTGTATAACCTCGGTGATGCATGTGAATTTTGGGGAGCTGAAGACTGTGGCTGCATAGATTTCATCACAAACCAAGTGAATGTTCTTTTGGTTTATAAATGTGACAAGGCTTTCAAGTGTGTCTTTGTCTAGGGTTGTGCCTAATGGATTTGATGGGTTTGTTATGATCAAGCCCTTGACATTGATGTTGTTGTTTTGGGCTTTTTCATAAGCTGCTTCCAGTGCTTCCTTGGTTATTTTGAAATTGTTGGAGCTATCACAATCGACCGGGACAATTTGGACTCCAGTTCTCCATCCGAGGTCTCGGTAAAATCTGCAATTAGACATATCAAATCTTAATTAATTATTAATGAAACTATTCAATCCATATATTAAGCTTCTAAATTAGCTTGGTGACTTGTAACTAGCAATTTCTTCATAATTTGTACATATGGATATATGAAAATGAGACTAGCCCACTGAGCATATCAAGTTTGGTAAGCACTATATGAGAACGGAAATTGAAGCTAATTAGAGAATTTTAACATCACGGTATAAAGATTAAGACTTTAAACAATTAAATCTTACAAGGAAACGAAGTTGGAGTTTTGCCTAAACATCCAGTTGTAACTACACAGACTAATCTGATTTGAATTATCATCCAATGTGAATGTATGGTTGAGGATTGATGCGTATGGCTTGATCTTATAGTAAATTTCAACTATGGAGTTAAAAGTCTTAACTAGTTCTTATGATATACATTAACAATACTGTATGTGATCGTTAGGGCTAAGTATAGAATGATGAGTAAGTGTGGGTGAGATTCAAAATTAGAAACCTTTCTATAAATATAAAAGAAAAGTATGTGATCTCAACCGAATTTATTGAACTATAATCCTTATTTATACTTGATTATGACTCTAAACACGCATTTCAGATATGAAAAATTCTGTGACCAAAACATTATTTAAAAAAGTAAAGAAAATATTACAACTCTCTCTATCTCAGTTGGACCAAATCTGTTGACCTTCAATAAAAACCCAAATATATTTATCTTAAGGATTTCAAAACCCCTATGGTCAAGTCCATGACTTGGACTCCACAAGTTTCTTTCTACCAAATTCTTAAACCTACTAAGTGTACAAATTAAAACACGCGTAGTCAACCAAACGCTTGAAAATAAAAACGGTGCTAATTGGGGAATTAAGTACTCAACCATTCGGCACGGTAAATAATTAATTGGCAACGTACGTACGTAAACGTAAACAATTAAAAAACAATATGTGAAATGAAAGACATAGAAGAAGCATCACGTACGCTGGATAGTACGGTGAGGGGATAAGGAAAGCATCGCCGCGGTCGGCCAAACAGAACATGACCAGCTCATTTGCTCCGGTGGCTCCTCCACTCATAACTACGCGATGAGGATCAAATGTGACTCTACCACCTCTTGCTTTCGACATGAACGTAGCAATGGCCTGAAAAATAATTAAGATCATGCAAGTTGATTATAATGGCAATTACTGAATAATTGATTTCCATGGACCATGCCATGTATGCATATGTGTATGTTTACCTGTCTGAACTCTGGTAAGCCATGATAGTCTTGAAAATTGGCCACGTTTCTGAACTTCTCAATTCCTTCAGCAGTGCAAATAGAGGCTTTGGGATTTTTCCTAATCCACTCTTCAACCAAGTCGAAGGAAAGCTGAAACAGACAAAGTAAAACCATGCATTTTGTTAGCTTAATTTCTTTGTAACTCCAACGTAATTATGTATAATACAACATAGTCACTGTTGAGGCTTGCAGCTCAAGTGGTAGTGAATATTTTGTCCGACTTCAAAATCCCTCGCCCCCTTAACCACCTTATAACTGAAAAAAACTAAACGGGAAGAAGCAAAATAACGTAGTGCAAACCTGATTTTCTGCCAGACCCATCTGGATAACTCCTTCAGGATTTTCAGTTAGGTGAAATGGGTTTTGATTGTACTTATTCCATCCGTCGAAGTACGGCGAGTTCTCACCATGTTTTTCATTGGTTGCAATCTTGGATAGCAGTAAGCGATTCTCACTTGCAGATGAGGCCATTTTCTTGGTTCCAAAGAACACACACAAGCTATATAGCTGGAGGGAATGATTATACTACTGGAAGTCTGGAACGACAGTAGTGCTTATGTTTTTTAAACAATGAAGTGTGAAGCAAAGGGTAAGGCAATTGTAGATTTATAGGCAGTAGAAGATTAAATGGCAAGCTGCACAGGAAGCAAAATTTGATTGAAAAGTCCACTTCAAAATTCAAATGTAGAAAAACCGACCCATAAGAAAGGAAATAACATAATTTAATTGTGCCAGTGTTGGTCAATGAATCGTAATTGCTTGCGTGTTGGACATCATACCGAACCATCAAGCATGTAAAAACTTGCACAGCCACGTGTACACCGGCAGCGTACCTCTTGGTGGTCCTCATACATCACCTTTCATGAAACATTCCTATAACTCATCAATTTTTTCTCAATTGACATGCCACATGGTAATATTGTAACAAATAATGTTAAGGAGAGTAAATTTATAGTCAAAATTTTATAAACTAAATGACATGAAAGTTAATGAGTGGATTATTACTTAATCGTTGATAAACATACTCATTTCCGATTAGTGATACATCATTTGGTTTGCAAATTTTATTTACAAATTGAATCTCCATAGCATTTCTCTATCGTCACACAACAATATATCATTTAATCAAATAAGGGCTTATCTCAACTTCATTTGTTTCTAATAAATAAAATACTAACATGTACACAGACACATCATTGACGGTTCTTTTTATGTATATAAAAAGTTGTTTTTTCATTTTTCTATTAGTTAGGTATTTGCTTTTGTGTTAATTTTTTCTGCAATGGACGTGTTATGTTTCTAGGAATGAAGCTTCCCCGAAGCACCATGAAAGAAAGAATGAAGATTTTGGTGCTGACTGAAAGCATATAGTTAGAAGTTAGAACTTTGGAATTTGGTCGGTTTTGGACTTGTGCACCAAGAGTAGTAAATGCACAAGACTCACACATTATTAGGACTTCAAATCTAAAGGGTATTACTATTTCCTTGAGGTTTCCTTTTCCTCCACGGTTGCTTTGTGAGATACTAACTTGGTCTCCACGTTAATGTGCTCCATGGCATTACTTTGCCATCTTTTCTAAAATTACTAATTAAATCCCTCGTGTGCTCAAATGGGAATGCACTTAAATACCTCATAAATAGTTGGAAAACCGACTTATATCATGATCCTGCCAAAAATAGCTGATGAGAAGTGAGGGCATCTCAGAAAATGTACTTTCCGGCCCCCTAACCTTTTGTTGTAATATTTCACGCGGTGGTCTCTGGTAGTACCGAAAAGCCAAGCAAATCAAAAAGGTGGTTTGTGGACTGTGGGAGGGTGGAGAAGGTTGCTTCTTATTACTCTATAAGGGTGGTACAAATTTCAAATTTTAGATTTAAAAGATAAAACATACGCCCCGGAAGTGGTATAGCACCAACTAAAGGCGATGATTGTGTATTTTGACTTTAGCGCATACACTCACTTGTATTAGTCATTGATTTGAAGCATCCCTTTCACATTTGCTGACGTATGTATTGGTTTGCATGACTGTATGTATTTGTTTCACTTGAGATATTACTAATTTTCATTGTTATACTTATGTATTGGTTTGCTGTATAATAGTATAATTGCAACTTTTTATGTTACTTAACTACCTTTCGAATCATTCACTCAAATCATTTCCGTATCACACTTTTAAACATTATGTTACATTATATTTCTGAGACTATCGAAATGTATACATTCAAATATGAGTTTATGTAATCAACGATGAAATAAGATACAACATATAATTGAATGGTTTTACTACAAATTGCATCAAAAGTTTTTATTATAAAATCTAATCACACACCTGCTGTACCCACACCTCTTTAATAAGACCATTTATCCGTTTTGTAATTCCATTACACTATGTTTGGATGAGGGAAATAAACTTAGAATTTGAATAAAATTATGAATTTATAAATTGACATACACCAATTTCCTTGTTTGAATTCATAAACATAGAAATTTAGAATTTCCACATGGAAAAAAAAATTTGGAATTTGGGACCTTCAATTCCCAAGTTTAAATTTCATGTAAATAGGTGACATTTTCCAATTTCTATGATTGAGAGTTTAAAAATAACAAATTTCGTATTCAATTCCATTGTTCTTATAGGTTAACCAAACAAGAAAATTCACAAATTTTAGAAAATAAATCTCGTCATTTCAATTTCCTTCATTCTAAATTTTTTTAGTAATCTTAAATTTCTTCATCCAAACATAGTGTTAGAAAAACCAAAATTCATTTTAATACTCTAAGACTATGTTTGAACGAAGGAAATAAACTTGAAATTTTGATAAAAGTCAAAATTTATAAATTGACATGCACTGATTCATTTGTTTGGATTCATAAACATAAAAATTTATGTGAGTGTAGTCAATTTGGATTTCATAGGATTTTAATAGATTTTGTTAAAGAACAGATTTTAAAGGATTTTAATAGATTCTAAAATTAAATATGGATTTTGAAAGATTTATATGAATTTCCATTATAGATTTCTATGGATTGTATGAACTTCTTTCATGGATTTCTTAGATTTGTGTGGACTTTTTTCATGGATTTTTATCAAAGTTAGAAGTGGCTAATATATTCTTCCCCAATTTTTATCGAATCACATCTCATAACATATTGACCCAAAGCCTTAGTATCATCAAATTCATGTCAAAAATTGCCACAACATTACATAAAGTTATACGAAAAGCAATTAAAACCAAAAGAAACTTCATTAGACGAAAGCGGAGGAAAAAAAATCAGCCAATTCGTCAGATACTTCTTTGAGGCATTTAAACAAATAGCTTGTAGGACAAAATTGCATAACCCTAGTTCACCAAACCAGTAAAGGGAATTCTGGTCAAACAATTTCTTTCCACTTTCTGATTAAACAAAAACAAACCCAATTGCTATTTTCACGTATTGAATCTAAATCAAAACGAAAAATGCCAAATTTTTTCAATTGCATTCATCTAACCCACCAAAAAATTGTTACAGTTTTGATTATTTAAATTCTTTTCGACACCCCAAAAAAATTTGCAAATGAGAAGTGGATTAAGAAGATCACGAATTATAAAGCAAAACAACATAAAGATAAAAACATAAGGATACAACTGTTACTCATCTTCCCAAAGGAACAAACCAAATGTAGAAAAAAATACAACAAAAATGCGAAATGCAAATTTAGTGGGGAATGCTTGGAACTCATGCTAGGACAATTCATCTTCTATGGTTTGGAGTGAAAAGAAATCAGAAGGGGCAGGGTTGGATTGTTGATGACATTTGGTATTTATACCACCAACCCTTAAATTCATCAAAATCTTGCATCCATCAAAATCCCAGCAAATCTTGGACATTCATACTACACATAGATTTGTATGGACTTTTTAAAATTTTAATTGACTACCTATGGATTTAGATGTATTCTTTAAATCCTCTCAAATCATGATTTGACTACACCCTAATTTTAAAATATTTTAAATACCACCTTCAAACTCCTAATTGACTACACTCGGATTTTAAAGTCTATTAAAATATCATCAAATCCAAATTTGACTACACCCGCCTTTAGACTTTCAACATGGAAAAAAAAAACTTGGAATTTGGGACCTCCAATTTCCAAGTTTATATTCCATGTAAATAGATGTCATTTTCAAGTTTCTATGAGTGGGAGTTTAAAAATAACAAATTACGTATTGAATTTTCATTGTTCTTTTAAGTTAGTCAAGCAAGAAATTCACCAATTCTACAAAATAAAATTCCGTCAGTTCAATTTCTGTCATTTTAAAATTCTTTAGTAATTTTAAATTTTCTCATCCAAACAGAATGTAATTGTACTATAACTAATGAAGTTTAAGAATCTTAATTCGATTCTAATTAGCGGTCTAACCTGCATTGATCAGATTATGATAATCTCTACTGAGCTCCCTAACTAAACTTCAAGAAGGTCAAAAAAATCAACTTAAACATGCTCATTATCCTTTTATACTTGAGATATGGAATCCTCTAAAGCTCCTAAGAGAGAAGATGACTCCTAGTGTCTCTAGTTTTTATAATTAATGGCGATTGTTTATTAATATTTTAAACAACTATATTCAAATTATATTAGCTTATAGTCATTATAACTCTCTAAAGTACGAAGTATGATTACTGTAAAAAAATTAGAGAGCTCTTAAAATTAATTTTTGACATTTTTAGCTTTAGCTCTAAGATAGAAAATATAATTAGAGATGCTATAAGTGTTCATACATTTAAGAGATGTCCATTATGGTAGGAAAGTATCCACTTACCAACATACTTCAATAATATTTTTCCCTAGAATCAGCAGCAAAGAAAGTCGAAGTTCTAGTATATAATTAAATGGTAATATGGGAGTAGTTCAACTACTATAAGCACATGAAATATCTCCATCATTTTCCCGATGTTGGATTCAATCTCAACATGCCTCTTCACATGTGATGAGTTTCAAGCTTAAAACGTAGACAACATAAATCAAACGACAGAGAGCACATGTAGACTTTGGGATTCACATATGGAACAGTCTGATCTAATATCATGAAGAAAGTTGAGATTCCACTATAAAACTAATTGACAAAATTTATGGAGCAGCCCAACTACTTATAAAGACATAAAATTTCTCTTTTTTAATGTGGAATTCAATCTCAACATGCAACAGTCATATTTGGCTGACCACAATAGTGAACTATGGATTTGGATCCCATTCAGATCCAAATTGTGAGGATTGTAGAGATCCTTACATTTTAATCGTTCATCGTACGTTGTGAGACCAAAAATATTTTGATTTTTTTATTTAAAATTAAATATAAATAATGCTTAACAAAAATTGATTATACAATTTACAATGAATGACTAGAATTTGAAGATCCTTATAAAGAAGATCCGGAGAGAATCATCATCCGTGAACTATCTTGTGCATGTTGCTTGCCCTAAGCATGCTGACGAGGCATGTATGCACCAAACAAAATCCTCAGTATGGTGGTACGTGCAAAATAATTATAATTTTTCAAGCACCATTGTTGTGGCGACGGT